GCCCCGGCGGCGGCCACGGCGAGGAGGACGACGCCCGCCACCCTTACGCCGGCCACCACGAGCACGACCAGGGGCACGGCCACCATCAGCAGCAGGAGGAGCAGTACGAGCATTACTACCCCCAGGTCAACCAGGACCAGCAGGGCCAGGGCCAGGGGGATGACCCCCAGCTGGACCACCCCTATCACCAGGTGGTGACCCAGACCTATGAGATGCCCACGGTGCAGCCCGTCAGCGGTGACGTCATCATGCTCGTCGGGCCCGGCGCTGGGGGCAACTAGGTGCGCAATTGCGCGTCTGCATGGGTCTGTGTGGATGCACACGCGCTCGTGCGTAATTGGGGCGTGGGTGTGGCGCGTGGGGTTGACCTGCGCGGGGCTTCGGCGGGCGGGAGGCGTTGACTCCTGTTTCATCTGTGGTGCAAATTGTGTTACCTAGCGGCATCAGCCCTGACAGCAGGCGTCTGGCGGGAACGACTGCGCCTGCACGGGTCTGCCGTGCAGGGGGAGCTGTCCGGTTCACCCAGACACCACCCCATCCCCTTCTGTGTGCAGGTGGTCATCTCGCGCAGGTCGGACGGCCGGACTCAGAGCAGGATACGCGCCCGCGGCCCAGTGCTGCTGCGGCAAGCCACCTTTGGCTGGAGCCTGTTCAACGCGCCGAGCGCTGCCTGTCACCTCGGAGCGCCGCCCTCAGCGTGCTGGGGCCGGCCTGCGGGCGGACGCGCCTCATCTGCGGATGGCCATGGCGCTCGGGGCGCTGGGGGTTGACCCACGCTTTTGGTGGGGTGTGGGTTTGCCCGATGGGCCGGTGGCTCTGGGCTCTGGGCACGCCGCTCCCAAGGAATCCCCTTGCTGCCGCGCGCAGCTTGCTACCGCACACCCTCATGCCGTGTTGCTCTGGGGAGCTTGCACCAAGGGGTTCACATTACTGGCGGGCGTTGTATAGTTGATTCCTGCCACGCACCCCCTCAGCATGCATCTAAACAGTATGCTTCTCGCCTGCATCCGCCATGAATAACCACCACAAGTGCACTCGTGCGCAGACGGCCGAGCGCGCACCTACCCCCTCCCAATCGTCTTGCCGCACGCACTGCTCTCGCGCGCCTTGCATCGCGCTGCCTTCCACAGCATGCACGCGCCCCTTTTCAGATGTTTCGCATAGCCTCGAGCTGCGTGCCACATGTGCCCTCCCTGCAGCCTCTTTCCCGCCAGCTGCACCTTGATCCCTGGCGGACCTTTGTGTTTGAGGTGGGGGTCACCAGTGAGGGTTCCCTAAGCGTCACATTTTGAATATCGCAACACCGTATCTGCATCACTGTAAATGCATTTTTATCCTCACGGGCCCTCGGGAAGCTGTGAGCACTGCCGCGAGGGGAGCAGGGACGGTGGGCGTCCATAGCAGGTGTCAGCCGGTCACTGTGGCGTTGGGCACTGACTGCGCTCGCTTGGCACTTAACAACTCTATCTCATACTCACCCAAGGTCATCGTGCAGGCAAGACTTGGCGAGTCTGGTGCAGAGGCTGGGCGGCTGTGCTGGAGGGATGCAGGGATCCTCACAGTGGGTGCCACGGTGACTGTGCCGGTGTGTGCCGCAACGGTGGGTGGTGCCATGCCGGGCCCACTCATGCAAGCTCATATACATTATCCTACAGAAACCTCGATTTTATCCGATCTCGCATAGTCGCCACGGCCCAACGTATGATGCGCAGCACTCCCAGACCGATGATCTGATGTTTGAAGCACAGGTCGCATTTTACCTTAACCAATATCTAGGTCGCTATGTGTCTGGTCTCGATGCCGAGTCGCTCAAGATCTCGGTGTGGAAGGGTGATGTGGAGCTCAGGAACCTGCTGCTCAAGCCAGAGGCGCTGGCAGGGCTCAACCTGCCGATCACCGTCAAATCCGGGCTATTGGGGAAGCTAACACTCAAGGCAAGCACGCGGCGCCGGCCAGCGTCTCGCACACGCCACCGCATGTCAACAGCCTAGGGGGCCGGCGGGCACGCGACGCCGACCCGCGTACGCCGCCCGAACTGATGCATGCAGCGTCTCACGCATGGCCTCTTCCAGCGCCCAGCGGACGTGGTGCCGAATCGCGCACTTCACTGCGACGCGGAGCCAGCGTCGCACGTCACTCGCCCCAGCAGCCCCGCAACCTCGTCTCACCACCGGACCCCGCCCTTCACACACACACACATGCACACATGCATGTGATACCAGGTGCCATGGAATCGCCTGGGCCAGGCCCCAGTCGTGGCGGAGTTCGACCGGCTGTACATCGTGGCCGCGCCCCGCGAGGAGCAAGATGCTGCAGAGGCCGAGGCGGCGCCGGCCAGCGACGACGATGCGCAGGTGCAGGCTGTGGAGGCGGCGGCGCGGCAGAAGCGCGTGCTGGCGGCGGAGAACGAATGGATCAAGGTGCGGTCTGTGTGTGTGTGTGTGTGTGCGTGTGTGTGTGGCGTGGCGGCCGTTTGGCATTGTGGGCAGCGAGCGGGGCGCCGTGCTCATTGGGGTCCTTTGTGGGGTGCTGCGAGGAGTGCGTGGCAGGTGCGGAGTGGCGGCTTGGGAGCAGCGGGTGGCAAGAGTGTGGGTCTATGCAGAGGGCAGATGCGCGATCGCGGCGGTTGTGCAGGGACTGTTGTATGTAATGGAGTCGGCATCTTGTCAGGGCCTGCAAATCGCTTGGCCCAGGCAGCGGTGGACCTTGGCGGGTGCAACAACTCCTAGCAGCAGCAGCAGCAGCAGCAGCAGCAGCAGCAGCAGCAGCAGCAGCAGCAGCAGCAGCACGCTCGGCGCCGTCGTTGTCGTCCCCTCCCCAGCCTCGGCCCCTCTGCATCCCCCTAAGCCACGCGCGACGGACGCGATTGCAAGCGGCTCGCCTGCCCCCCCCCGCCCCCACGACACAACATCCAACCACCTGCAAAACATAACCCCGCTCCCAGGAGATGGAGGCTAAAGAGAAGGCCCACCTGGGCTCGAACCCAGACGCCTCCTCGGGCGGCGGCGGCGGGCCCCTCGGCCTGCGCGGCCTGATCGACACCATCATCGCCAACCTCGAGCTGCGGGTCACAAACATCCACGTGCGCTTCGAGGACCCGAGCAGTTGGCCGGGCCGGACGTTTGCCATCGGCGTGATGCTGTCTGAGATCAGCGCCCACACCGTGGATGAGGATGGGCGGAGGGCGTTCGTGACCAACGAGCAGCTGCGGACGATGCGCAAGGTGCGCGCAGAGGCGGCGCGCACATGGGCGTGCGTGGGCGTGGGCGTGGGCGTGGGCTTTGGCGTGGGCGTGGGCGTGGGCGTGGCCACGGGTGCGAGCGTGGGTTTGGAATCGGCCTGTCAGTTACCTGGACGGGCAGGGGACAAGGGGTTTTCCTGATTCCACTGCGGGGCGCCGCAGCCGCCGATACAAGAGTTTCCACGTCACGAAGGGAGGCCGCAGTGCAGGTGGTGTCACAGCAGGGGTCCCGCAGCCACATGCAAGACACCTTAGAGCCGCGAGCCGGCAGCAGCAACGCGGCCGCTGGATCAGGGCCCAAGTGGGCACGTGCATGCTGAGTTACGCGGCCGCCACGCCGCGCGTCGCCGCCGCCCCGACAGGGCGTGAAGCTGTCGAAGCTCTGCGTCTACTTCGACACCGACGCCGCGCGCCTGGAGCCCTCGGGAGGAAGCTGGGAGAAGCTGGGGCGCGAGGGCTGGGACGACATGCTGCTGCCGGCCAACCACGCGGCGGGCGGCGGCCCGATGGAGCCGCACCCGCACGCCAGGCTGGCGTCGTCGGTCAGCCAGATGCTCGGGCCGCCGGCGACGGGGGCAGCCGCAGGGGCAGCGGCTCCTGCGCAGCAGGAGCCCCCGGGCGTGCCGCCGCCGGCGGGGGCGTCTGCGGCTGCAGCAGCGCCTGGCACATCCGAGCCGCCACCGCCCGGCAGCCCAAAGACAAGCGATGGCGCGCCGCAGCTCCCTGGCGCCGCGCCGCCGCCCGCGGACGGCGCCCGCCACCAGTTCCTGCTGTGCCCCGTCGACGGCACGATGCGCTACACGCGCCGCACCGCCGCGGCGCGGCTTCTGGAGTCGGATGCGGCGCAGGAGATGGATCTGAAGCTCCATTCCATCAGCATCCGTCTGCACCGCCTGCAGTACCTCAGCACCCAGAAGCTGCTCGAGGAGTTTGACCGCTACACCGCCGGCGCGCCGCACCGGCACCTGCGGCCCGGCTGCAGGCCGTCGAACGGTGGGTGACCCGCCGGGGCCGCGCCGCTCGCGCTCCTTTGGCTGCCCCCTTGGGCATCTGATCAGACCTCTCCTCGCTCGACGAATTTTGCCGATAAGTCGCAGCCCTGCAACAGCTATATCTTGCTCCCAAGGCTCTAGGCCCTGGCAAACAACAACACCACGCGCTAGTAGCAATACACAAAACATTGAAAGATCACGTCTCGCGCCCGCCCCACCTCACCCCGTCCCCCACGACCGCCCGTCCCCAGCCTGCGGCGCGCGGCTGTGGTGGCGATACGCGATCCGCGTCGTGCAGCGGCAGCAGGTGCAGCAGTTCATTGTGTGGCGCAGCGTCAAGGCGGTGTCGGCGCTGCGGAAGGAGTACGTACCGGCGTACGTGCGCTGCCTGCAGGCCGGGAAAGTCGGGGGCGACGAGGCGATCGCGGCGATGGATGCGCAGCTGGACGAGCACGTGATCCAGCTGTTCAGGTGGGCCGTTCGAATTCGCGCCGGCCAGATCGCGAGCCGCGCGGCCGAGTTGGGAGTGCTGGGCGGAGTGTGCAGCGTGATGCGTGTGATTGTGTGTAGCGGCGCGAGGGGGGAAGGGCAAGAGGGTGCCATGAGGAGCGTGCTGGGTAGGGGCGGCGGGCTTGGGCCAGCAGCAGGTGGTGGGCCAGACGGTGGGCCAGGAGTGGATTGAGGGGTCCTGTCGGGCCTCGCCCCAGGCACCGCCGCCTGCTGTGCACGCCGTGGGCTGGCCGCATGGATGGTCCTCGCTGCTCTGCTCCTGCGGCCCCCTCTGCCACCCTCCTTCCTCGCATCTGACCATAATCCCTTTGACAAACTTGTCTCATATGTACATACATTGTACCTTGTCATGCGTTGCAACGCCAGGCGGATGGCATATGTCAGGTACATGGCGCTGCGCAAGGCCGCCGGCGGCGACGGCAAGTCCCGCGCGCAGCAGCAGCAGCAGGGCGGCGGCTGGCTCGGCTGGCTCCGCGGCGCCGCAGGCGGCGGCGGCAGGGACGGGCAGCAGCACGGCGGCGGCGGCGGCGGCGCGGCGGGCGCGGGGCAGGTGCTGGAGGCGGATATGGGGTCGGATGAGTGGCAGAAGCTCGCTGAGCTGGCGATGCAGAGCGAGGTGGGCTGAGGGGAGGGCTGCTTCACGAGTGTGACAAAGAAATGGAGTGTGTACGTTTTGTATGTGTGTAATTGCATGTGGATTTGGGGTAAGGCTGTGCGCAGGTGTGTGCAAAAGTGTTTGTGCATGCATGTGCGTAAGAGTGTGTGTGGAATGTGTGCGCGTGCGCACGTGTGAGTGCATGTTGTGGTGTACACACATAGGCACGTGTTTTTGTACCAGTACGTGCAGCTACTCCCCCCCCCCTGTTTAGCCACCCCCTTCTTGGCAGCTTTGGCAGCCTGGCGCCAGCCGCGGGGCTGCACTGCGGCTGTCTGCTTGCGCGTTAAATATCAGGCAGACACGCTGGGCGCGCGCCCGCCGCCCACCTCCCACCCCGCGCCGCGCCTCCCCTCCCCCATCTCCATCCACCCGCCCCGGTCGCCCCGCGGCGCCGCAGGAGGCGCTGTCGCAGGGCACCGCGCAGCAGACGCCCTACAGCGTCGACACGCGGTTGGGCGTCCAGGTGGCGAGCGCGTCGGTCGAGCTGCAGGACGGGCCCGGCAAGATGCTGCTGCAGGGCAGCATGAGCGGCGTGGGGGCGAGGATGCTGTCGTATCCGACGGCCACCGACCTGCGGCTGGATATCACGATGGTGGGGGGGATGGGGGGGGCGTCCGGCTGCAGCAATGGCGGTCTAGCTGCAGCAAGGGGGGTCTGAGGGCATTCTTAATCTGGTCTGGCCGAGGAGCGCCCAAGGACAAACTCTCCACGGCGAGGAATTTTTCAGAATCGCACCGTGACGGGCATGCCTTTGAAGATGTCAGCACCCCGCGGCCTTCTCCCGGACATCGGCCGCTTCTCACCACAAACTGTCTGCTGGCAACTACCCACCGCCCACCCCCACCCGTCAACAACCGACTGATCACAACCGACCGCCAACTGCCAACCGCCCCGCAGTTCGGTGTGCACTCCGCCTACGGCCCGCTGCTCAGCTCCGGCCTCCTCTCCCGCGCCGCCCCCCGCGGCGGCGGCGCCCCCGCCGCGGCACCAGCCGTGGCGCCCCCCGGCCTGCGCGCGGGCGCCGTGTCCATGCACCTCGTGCGGCGGCCGCAGGACGGCAGCGCCGACCTCGTTGCGCGCCTGGCGGTGGCGCCGAGCTACGTCACCTATGACAAGAGGGCGCTGTCCGAGGTTGGTGACTTTTTCAGATCAGATCGCCCCGTGGAGTTGAGCCGCCTGCAGGCGCAGGCCGCGGCGCGCACGGACCAGCTGCGCCGCATGGCGCGGCTGCAGCTCAAGGCGATGAACGCGCGCAACGCGGCGGAGAAGCCGCGGCTGCTGCTGGGCGTCACGATGCATGCGCCCAAGGTGGCGATACAGGGTGAGGCGTGCGGGTCGAGGCGTTGCGTGTGGAGGCTATTTTGGCCGTCAATGACGGTGCAGCTACGCTTACGTGCTGTCGGGGCGGTTGGGGGCCATTAAAGTGCCGCGCTGCACCCTTTTACACAAACATCCGTCCAGCGCGTGCGCCGTGTGCTTGCACAATGCCTTCTCTTTTGTCCTGCATCCTTCCGCCTCCAGACCCAACTCAGCAGCAGCCTCCTTTGGCAACGGTGCAACCCTTTCAGGGTTCGCTGCTCCCCTCGTTGCCCCAATTGCCTCCCCCACCCCCGCAACACGGCACCCCTCTCAAGCGAACACACTCGCGCTCGCCCCCCCCCCCCTGCTCGCAAAACCCTAAACCCCAGACGAGTGGGGCGGCACCACGCTCATCGCTGACCTGGGTTGCTTCACGCTGGAGTCCAACCCTGAGCTGCTGGCCAGGCTGAGCCCCGAGGAGGCCGCGGTGTACGAGTGCTTCACGGTGAGGGGTTCGGGATGTTTTGGGATTGTTTTGACAGGAGGCATTCTTCTGAGAGGAGGGGGTTGATGGAACCCTGTTAGGAAATGGCTGATCGGGACTGAGGGAGACACGATACCTTCACGCATGCGTTCTTGGGGGCAGTCGAGGGGGTCTGTTGATCATGCCGGGGGTAGTCTGGTG